ACCATTGTTAGATTTGTGTGCGCATTGTATCTTTAACATGTCTCTCAAGATCGTGACTCTTTTTGATCATCGATCTTGGCCGGATCTCATTTTTGGATCGGTTGCTCATTTGAACGTTTTTTGCTGATATCATATATTAATATTTATGGGGTTCCATCTCAAAACCAATTGACAATGAGAGGAGTAACCCCATGTGGTACCTATTACAAAGTTCATTTTCTTTTCAATGTGGAATCCTTAACATGTGGCACCTATAATTGCCCAGAAATCAACATCAACAGTTAATATATATTTACAAAAATATGTTTTGTTTTTTATAAATGAAGTGCAAATTCAGGACATGGGTCACCATCTATAAGTGATAGCTTGTGATATGGAAATATATTATTTTTTTTTTTAAGTTTAAGAATAGAGTTCAAGTTGGAGTTTGGTTTTGTTTATTCAAATCATTTTTATGGGGAAGTTGTAACATATATTAAATTTGATTTGGCATTCCAAAGCTTTAACTTGTTCTTATTTTTTTATTTTTCTTTTGCCTACCTATCTTTCTGGTGAATAACCATAGTTGAATATCAGAAAATAATTAATAATTTACACAACTGTACAAATTAATCTGGACTTGATATATGGATCATTTCTACCTAAAGTTTTGTACATACATACATTTATTTTGTATAATATTTAAGTTCATGAAAAATTGTTGGGATAATGAAGTCAGATCCGTGCCTTACGAGGAAAAGGATTTTCAAACACTACTACCAATTCCTACGAGGAGTAGGATATTATTGTCTTATAAGGATTACAATATTGTTTTCCTATAAGGATTGGGATATTTGACCACTTATAAATAGAACCCTTTTGTTAAGGTTTCATTTATACAGAGTCGAAATAGAAAGACTTTGGTTGTGGACAGTGTATGAAAAAAAAGAGTTTGTATCTCGTGGGTTTAGTGAGGATACTTCCAATTGTATAATCCTAAGTAGCCATTGTTAAGGTACTTAGAAACAAGATAGTAATATCTTAAGTGGGATCTCCTTTGTAATATGTAGTCTCAAGATAGAGGTGAACCAGTATAATCCTTGTGTGTTAAGCTTTTCTATCCCTATTTTCTATTCATTTGTTATTATTACTTACCTGTTAGCCTAAGGGGAAAATCAAATAATTCATGTTTAAATAACTTACACCGATTGATCTATATTATTTTTTTCCCAACAAAAATAAAGTGTTTGATATATTAAAGTTAATTGATTAGTCTTGAGACTTTTTGAAATATGATTTTGGTTAATTAATTTTTTACTCATTTTCTTTTTATTTTAGAGTCTAAATTTTAACATCTAAATTTTAGTCCAACAACATTTTATTAAATTCAAGATTGACATTACTACCGTATAAATATCATATTTAATTTATTAGAAAAATGATGTCACTTCATTCATTAGAGTCATAAACTTCGAAAAACTCAAAGAACAAAATAAGAATTTAATTAAAATAATAATAATAATAATTAAACAAGTTTAGATATATACTTAAACCATATTTTAAACCAAAAATATATTCAACAATCTTTTCAATATCGTCAAAACGAAGATAATTGACATATATTTTCAATCAAGAGATTGTGAGTTCAATTCCTCACCCTTACCCTTACCTATTGTACTAAAAAAATTATTAAATATCACTCATAGCATTCAAATTTGATATTGAATCATTGTTCAACAAAAATCTATTTAATTAGAATTTTTTTTTATTTAAGTACAGTACATGGGTGGAGGATCGAACTCATACAACCAAATGGTTGCTGATGAACAAGAAGGAGTAATTTGACTTGAATCTTCCAAACAAAGTGACTTCAGACTTGTTTAATTTGGCTTTAATTAATTAGATAAAAATTAAAGATGGTTCAGATTTTGAGAAGAAAATAGTGTGTTGCTATGGGATCGTGCATGGTACTTGGATTTGAGAGACTTACAAAAAGATTTTATACAAAATTTTATTCACATTTTTTTATTTTCCATTCCATCGCCTTATATTATTTTATATCAGGGAGCAAGTGCCTCACATTTAACTAAAAATAATAAACGATATAATATAAAATATTATTCCTCTTAGATAATTAAAAATTTTGAGTTTATATTCATAAGAGAATGTAGTTTATAAGTTTTATTTCCAACTTAAACATAGTTAGTTACATATTATCAAAATTGATATGTTACTCAAATAAATGCAACACTGCAGCTGCTAACTAAAGAATGAAAATAATCTTTTCAACGTTAACTAAAAAAAGCTCGTGAAATTGATTTCTCTAAAATAAATATCATGTTTCATACATTAGAGAGATTAAGGCTTAATCTTTAACTAATATTTGTACCATAGTATCATTTTATTATTTGTAACTCACTTGTTTAGACTCTTTAATTTAGTTAAATAGCCTTCGAAAAATATAACTATTGATAATACATTCTCCAACAAAAATATTGGAACTGAAAATTATAAAAGTAATCTTAAGATGCACATGAGAATTATAAATATGAAAAATAAAAAGAGAAGAAAATTAGTCATTTCTTAAATTAATAATTTGAGAAAAATAAACACGTGGCACAGTCAAATCAAGGGGGCAGGACACTTTTGGAAGTTGACCAAAAAACCCATATGAAGTGTCATGTGAGCGTAGGACCTCTTGAAGAATTTGAAGAGGTATTTCCCAAAGTCAAAATAATTGGTCTCTCCCCCATCAATATCATAAATGCCCCTTGCTAAATAATAATAATAAATGCCACCCAGTTGAGGGATTTTTTTTAACTATTTCCAAAAATATATTTTTTCTGGCATCGAGAATTGTTTTTTTTTACGATACGTGGGATTTGAGATATATGCCAGCTACGAATATACTATGTACGCTGTTATTTTGTCCTTATTAACAATTAAGATGAAATTAAAGGAATTATATCGTGGGATTTGAGATATATGCCAACTATCAGTGAACTATGCTTGCTTTTATTTTCTCGTTATAAATAATTAAGATGAAATTAAAGGAATTAGGAAAAGGAAAACTAAGAAGGGTTTGAGATTTAGGACAAAAGAGTGATTTGATGTCGATTTATGGAGAGTATGACCCAAGCGGTGGTCTATAGATGGGCCAGGCCCAATTCTACAAGTAACGTAGGCCCATATTTGGCTAACATAATTTTTGGTCTGGCTTTATTAGGGCACTCAAACTCCAATAAAAGAAAAGGGATACCCTTCAAAATTATGATATGTGTACCCTTTTTTCAAAAGTTTAATATATTTACAGAATCATTATTCTTGAAATAATTCATTTTAGCCAATGAATACTAATGTTTTTATTGGATAGAATAGATGCAATTTTGAAAAGTGTGAAATATACCATTTCATTGGTATCTTAAAAGTGTCAAATATAAGATACGATGTTTTCCTTCACAAACATGTTTTAAAAGTGTCATCTATTTTATATTTGAAAAATCATGCCTTCATTTACCAAAGATCATCTATCATACATTACAAAAAAATATTATATATTCTTCATTTTAGGAAATAGATTAATGTTCCTTTGTTCAAAAATTATCATCCACAAACATGCACTTTTTTTTTTATTTATTTCCTATTTTTGAACACTGTCATCAACCAATCAAGCATCCTGATTAAGACAATATCAATATTAAACGTGATTCAACATTTTCTGCAAAACATAAAAAATATCAATACAATATCAGAATATGAATATTACAAATAATAAATGTAAAGTACTCAACCATTAATTGAAATAATTTTCCTTTAAAAAAATGAAATAATTTTCATAATCGATTTTTATTTCCACCAGGTTTTTTAGAATATCCGTTGCCATTAATATTTTATTGAGGTATATTCATAAATATTTCCAACAAATTAGAATCTCAACATTTTCATCTAGATTTTCTTTTATAAAATATTTTCATCTATATTTCACTCTAAAAAACATTTTAATCTAGATTAGTGTTTTGAGCGGTCAATTTTGCATGTAAAAGTGGTCAGAATTCTTCAAGCATTATCTGTATTAAATTTCAATAAATGTCCTCGATTCTTTGTTTTTCAAAATGCCATCTATCTTTCATTTGAAAGTGGCATTTTTTTTTCAATTTTTTAAAATGTCTTATATATTGCTTCGTAGAACAAACATCTTTGTTATACATTTTCGACGGCACATCTATTCCAAAAATACAATCTATTCTAAATTTTAAGAATATCATATATTTGACACATTAAAACATTGTCTATTCAACATTCGAGAATAGAATCTGTTACCAACTTGAGCTTGCTCAACAATTAAGGCAATTTTTATCAAAAATCAAACATTTTAATTATCGCCTTGCCTCCTATAATTCAATACTCTAAAAAGAACATCTAATTTTTTATTTGAAAAAAAAAAACCAAAATAAATCAAAAACCGCCATGTATACGATTATTCATCCAAATGATATCATCTATTCTAATTTTGAATGAAGAATAACTTTGAGAATTCTTCATTCAGGAAAGCATCGTCTATTTCTTATTTGAAAAAACATCATCCATTTTTCATTTGCAATTTACACGAGTACCATCCATTCTTCATTCCAAAAATCATATTCTCTATATTCTATATTTTAGTGTTAAAAAAAAACTGTTTCAGTTGATCGATGTTTTACAAAACAATTGTGTATAGATTAGCAACTTCATTTTCTATTCTACCATTTTAAAACATTTTCAAATCCCAATCAAATAATGAGAACTACATAATTATCAAGAACATGATCTTAATAATTGAACTTTAACTAAAATTTTACAAGTACATTCAAGTAATAAAACCAAACCAAAAAAGTTGCAAAAAAACCTTATTTTGTCAGAGGAAAATATTATTATCAAATAAAAGATAAAGAGACAATTTTCAAAAATCTATTTCACCTGACATATGAAATTGCACGCGTCAGTTACCTTCACAATCACAACAGAAAATGAAATGTACAATATTTGGTTCATGATCAGGCCAACGCCTATTACTGTATTATTCGCCAAGAAAAAGAGCAAAAAAGAAAATAGAAAATGAACTGAAGATACATTTCAGTGTCCTATATATTATATATATTATATTAATCCACACAACCAAATAAGAAAATATTTTCCAATTGGAAATGAAAGGGGAATGTTAACGACCTTTCTTTGCTCAAGCAGTCAAGCTTAGGATGGTTGCAACAAACCGAGATAGAGATTCATATATAGAACAGGCACAGGCAGGTGAGCATAAAAATGAGGAAGACGACCTAAAATATTATTAACTCACCATCGGCTTAGCCCATCGCATACTTCTGCGTCCAGCTCCTTGCAGTCGTCTCGTATTTGTTCCTGTCAGTCTTGTACATGTGAGCAATCTCGGGCACCAATGGGTCATCAGGATTTGGGTCCGTCAACAGCGAACAGATCGAAAGTAAGACCTAGTTTTAAACATACAAGGAAACTGCTGTTTCAGTAATCATGAACACAAGGACGCATTATAGAAAAATATCAAGGTACAACCAGGAGATGTCCGTGACATATTGCCAAAAAAAAGGGTTATAGAATCAATCAAGATGAATCCAATTCAATATGAATATATGGAGTCAAGGGAGCCGATCCCATCCCATATCAAGGGCCATATTGTTGATGGAGACTAGCCCACGAAGATATTCTTCAATAACAATTGGACAAAAAGGTTAGGTTTGTTCTACTTAGTTGAGTTATTTCTCCTATCTAACTCAGAAAAAGAGATGCCGGTCAATGTTTGCACCATCTTTCAAATAGCATCTGGATGCTAGTACAGATGTTACAATGTTAAGAGAACAGGCGGAAAAAAAAGGTTTTGGGGAGATAGGTACGAAAACTAGTATGCATTTGCAAAGAGGACCATATCATAGTCTTAAACAGAACCTCTTTTTTTCTTAATCAAGTCAAGGGACAAACCTTGGAAATAGTTAGGGCAGGGCTCCACTGCTCTTTCAAAATGTCAAGGCAAATACTACCATTGCTATTGATATTTGGGTGGAACACCTTTGTTCTAAATGCCACCTGAAAATACATTAAATTATGAGACAGGAGGAAATAATAAGAAAGCCGCTTCCAAGAAAATCCATGACAAGAAACATTTCTATGTTAAAGAAGTCAATTACAAGAAAGGAGGAAATGTTCCCTAGGCAAGAAAGAAACATTTGCACACGTAGTCACAATTCATCAAATTACATGTTAAACCCTAACCAGAAAAATAAAGAAACCAACAGATGACAGGGCGTGACAAAGAATCTAGCCTAAACAGCATCTATGCCTTGGACCACTCCCTTTTATTTAATAAAGACAATCTGAAGGCAGCACATTAACCTATCTGGAGAACTTACATCTAACAATTATAAAAATAATTGCATGCATAATTGAATAACACTATCAAATGAAGGAGAAAATGCATGGCCAAATATTAAAGGGAATTCACTCTGTTAGTTGAGCTCAATACAGCTAAACTTAGTTACAAACAAATTACCCAATTCAGACCCTTAGGCTGAAAACAGTTTATCTTAAAGAACAGATAAGAAAATAAAAGGCAAGATCGATATATTCAGCATATTTTATAAAATATAGGACACATAGGCTTAGAGTAAACAGCAACTTAAAAGAAGCTGTCACACCTTGGGAGGCTTAAAAGGATAATCTGGGGGGAAATGAATGGTGACAAGGAAAACACCCCCAGCATAAGGACTGTCTGGAGGACCCATGATGGTAGCTTGCCAATGAAACATGTCTTCGGCAACTGGACCTGCAAAAATTCTTACATGAGTCAGCACCTCAATAGAAACCAACTGATTGAAAACCATACAGGATCAAAACTAAATCTCAATGTATTAACAAATCTTAGGACAAGTCAATATAGTTACCATCTCGCCATTCATATCCAATCAACCAATGTTCATGTTATAACCTGAAACTTTGTCTTTAGAGCAAGAAGTACTGAAGCTAACCAGGAGCTGGAAGTTCTAAACTACTTAAAACGTAATTACTGAAGTCAAATTACAAAATAAAGGAAAAATGAAAATAGTCGCAATCTGTAATATCTTAATTTTAGTTCCAGATGTGAACACATGAAGAAGTGCATAAAATTTCTTCTGTATGAGTGGAACTTCCACATGAAATCGTCTAAAGATTCGAAGTTGAACAATTGAGATGCTCAGACACACAATAGAACCAAATTCTCGGAATATTTTACACGGGATTCATTGACTCAATTCTCCCCTTTCATAAACCACATTAACATGATTATTCTACGATCAGTTGGTAAAGAAACCTCTAACAAATTTCAGCCAACAACCTTTCCCTATCTAGAGATAATTACTAGCATATATTCTCAACAGAAACCACGAAGGGTGGATAATCTACAAGTACAGCAGAAAAATTGACTCTCTAGAAAGAATACATATCCACACGAAGGCAAGTAGCAAAAGAGAACGATGAATATTGTAAGACCAATCAATCTAAAGGACGAATTAGGCCAAGGGCAATAAATAAATCCAAAGAAGAAAACATCCCCCAGCCACCAATTTTTTTTTTCTTTAAGAAATTAATTCCATACCAGCGCTACATGATGTAGGAGGGTCCTTCTGCAAATCCTTGAGTTCCTTCAAAATCCTCTTCGACGCCATCCGCGAAAGCTAACAAAAACCTTCAAGATCCAAAATCCAAATCCAAACATCAGATCAGAGGCCCAACAGAGAGAGAAACAGATTCAAGAACATAAAAAAGAGGCAAAACAAAAGAGAAAGAGAGGGAAAAGGGAGAAATCGTACCAGAGAAAGGTCCTCGTTCAAACGTTTTAGGTCTGCTGTGAGGGTTTGTGAAGAAGACGAAGAGGATGAGGATGAGAAACGATGGAGGAGATGGAAAACGGATGGTGATTTGGTGCGGAATGAAATTTATAGAACCGTTTCTGCGTGTGGGGCCCTGCCCCAAAGCCGACGTTTTTGATTGGTTCAGAATTAATTATTATGATTAAAAATTATTTCCAGAGAATTAGGTGGGCCCTTCTTAGCGTTTAATCTACGGAACCATCTTTCCTATCTCCTCCCTCGCCGAAAGCTGCCGCCGAAGAAAATTATTCTCTTTTTTCGGTATCCCTTCACTGGGCCTTTAGTGGGCCTTCACTCCAAGGCCCATTTTCGGGTTTCGCTCCGGCCTTGAACTCGATCCACAGCCCTACAACAAAAAAGGAAAGATGGTTATGCAGTGTCCGAACCAATTTAGATGAACCTCGACTAATCTTACAAAAACTCTCCGTCCTTATTATGTTTGGTTGTCAAAGAATTCATACTATTCTGATCTTTCATAAGGTTTCAAAAATATTCTTTAAGAAAACCTCGATTCACATTTTGAAAATAAAGTTGGAGTGGCAAAATTTGGAATGACGTGTGAAAATTTGTCTTAACTTTTTTTACATTGTTTTGTTAACAAGCACTACAACAAATTTGACATTTTAACTTGATCGATTATAGGTCTGTCGTTGTTTCTATTGTAATTTTTTTTACCTTCACTAAAGGTCAAATTTATTGTAGTGTCAGGTAATTGTTCCACAAAGCTTCTACGTCAATTATCACGTTATTCCAAATTCTATTGTCAATTTTCTATTCAAAATATTATACAATGTTTGCTCAAATGATATTTTTGAACATTTCTCAAAGTACTGAAACTTTTGAAATGATAGGATATTTTTAAATAAAACAAAGTACAAATTTCATAGATTTTTTTTTATATAATTTAGCCTATGAAAAATATCAGCGACTAGTTCTAAAAATGTTTATGCATGTGTACTTTTATAAAATAATATTTTGAAAATATAACATTTTCTAATTATTGATTGCAAACAAAGCATTTCTTTGAATATGTTAATTACTGATTGATTTAATAAATGTAATCTATTTATTTTTAACTGTTGTTGTAATATTTTTAATAAATTGATATTGATTTAGATTATTAAAGTGATCACCCTTAATACTTTAACTTTTGTTCTGCTACGTTTTCAAATAAAAGTAAAAAAAATTCACTTATGTTCCACTACTTTTACCATCAATCGTAAGATGTATAATTCAAATTGTCATTTGAATCTAAACCCATCATGTCGGTCATTGGATTGTTGTACTAAGTTCGTAATTTTCATATTTTTTAATAAGTAATTGGAAATAAAAACGTTTAAAAAAGTGTCAATTCATTATAACTTGGCTTACTTTAAATAAATTATTTTACATTTTTTAAAAACGAAGAAATATACATAAAATTAGAGAATCAAAATAGATCTATATAAAAATGTAAATAAGAAAAGTTGGTGGGTCGTTAATCTCCAAGTCAATAATGATAGGCTCATCTGAAGTGTAAAAATTAGTATTCGGTTGGAAAAAGACGACGACAATTTGACAGAGAAAGATGACGTATTCTAAAAAGGAAATGGGGCAGGAAAAGGAAAATAGAAGTTAAAACTTAAAATACTGTTTTTGGTGATGTAATTTTAGCATGATATATACCTTCATATTTTGATTCAAGTAATTTTAATTTTTGTTGTTCCTGTGCTACTTTTCTCTTATGTAACTGAGACTCGTTAATACAAATTTATTGATAAAATTTTAAAAAATTTAGTAAATGAAGTGTCGTGGTAAAATTATGATCGAAAGAAATGAGACAAAAATAAAAATGAACGAATAGATCACAATAGTCATTTTTTAAAATTACAGGGACCAAAATGGACATTTAAGAAATACAGATATTAAAATAAACAAAAATATAAAATATAAAGATCAAAGAAAATGTTTGAAAAATACAATCAAACTCCTGGTAAAATAGTATTTCAACTTAAAAATAATAATCCAAATTTTTGGTCCTTTTATATTCCTTTGGATGGAAAAACAAACGAAAGATGGAAAAAGATGACGTTGTTGACAAGAAAATTTAATAAAGCATGATTAAAATGTTTTTATTCAAGAACATGGAGGAGAATACAATTCTCTTAAAAAGCCATTAACCAAAATGAAAAATACCATTAATTAAACTTTAAAGTTTACATACTATAGAAACCGTATAGAAACTGCAATTGTAACTCAAGGATTGAGTTCAACTATATATGATTTAACAAAAGAGATGAGTCAACGTAAATATAAATATAAATATAATTCAATGACGAAGACATCTTATTTTTTCTCTAGAGGTCAGAGGTAACCAAAAGGCTCAAGCAAAACTAAACCCTCAATTCAATGAGTTTAAATGAATAGAAATCAATTCAAGGACAAAATAACCTATGTTCTACTGTGTGACCACCAAAACAGACACAAAGATGATAATTAATTTCAATGTAAATGTGAAGAAGAACCGATTTCAATTACACGAGTTGGAGTCGAATACTCTGACTTTGACCCGGACGATGGTCGAGTTCCACTACTCACTAGTCGAACCTGCTCGATTCTCGACGCTATATCCATCATTTTTGGTCGCTGCTCAGGCATTTTTGCAACACAAGACAGCCCAATTTGCAGCATCTCCACCATTTCTTCTTCTATATTTGGATACCTGAGAAGCTCCACATCAAACACTTCTGCTGTCCATTCCTCCCTCACCACAGAGTTCACCCACCTCACTAAATTAACAACTTCATCACAACCTTCAACGTGAATCGGGGATTTTCCAGTCAGAAGCTCCAGCAACACCACCCCAAAACTGTACACGTCTGCTGCTTCCGATGCCCTCCGAGTGTCGGTCACTTCCGGGGCTCGATAACCAGGAGTTCTCGTTGCTGGTACCATAACTGAATTCATCAACACGGCTAAACCAACGTCAGATACACAGCCATATCCTTTAGAGTTGAGGAAAATGTTTGAGGCTTTGATGTTTCCATGGCAACATTTTGCACCGGATTCTGCGTGAATATGAGCAAGACCTCGAGCCGCTCCGATAGCAATTTTCATCCGAGCTTCCCAATCTAACACACACAAACCTTCGCCTTGTTTATCTGCAATAGTAAATAGGCATATTGGTAAATTTCACGTTGGACACAGATTCATCCATTAGTATAGAAACTGTTGAAAGTTATCAATGGTTAATGTATGAACTTCATTTTTCATAGAGATTGCATTGTCTCTACTCTTGAATCTAATGAATAGTAAATCGCAGTCACCTCGGGCAACAGTTCGGCTTCTTTATAAATTCTATAAAACTGTATCAAGAGAAATAAACATAATTGCAGTTGGAGCAAGGTGATATGATACTTACTGTGTAGCATTGCAGACACACTCCCTTGTGCGCAGTAGTCATAGACCATAAGCTTCTCATCCTTTGAATAATAGTATGCTCTTAAGGAAATGATGTTCTCGTGCTTAATGTTTGCAATCAACTCCACCTGCTGTTCAAATTCTCGTTTCCCAACTGTAACTTGATTCAACCTCTTCACTACCACCGTCGTCGTGTCCTCCAGAGCAGCCTTATAGCTCACTCCGAAGGTTCCCTTCCCGAGAACCTCAGCAGATGCCCTCAACAGGTCTTCCAAGTCAAATGCAAGATTAGAATCCTGAAAGAAAGTAAGGTTGTCCTTTTGTTCTTGGCTATCAAAACCCTTTTTCTTCACAGAGCTTTCCTTCTTTTTGGGCTCCATGGTGGAACTATCATTTTCTTTACCCTTTTTCAACCAGAAAGCAGTCAACAAAATAGCTAGTATAAGAAGCCCAATAACACAACCACCAATTGCAATACCCAGTATTGCAGATTCACTCAGTACTTTGCGATTTCTAGTCGGTTGAACATCAGGGGGCAGAAGCGGAAAAGATGGGGGAACTGCACCATGTTCTGCAGTAAGATTGTTTCCAGAGAATACCCAACTTGGAAATCTTTGAAGAGATTGAGGCACATTTCCTGTAAGATTATTATTGGACAAATCTAACCGTTGCAAACTTGGAATCTCAAGGTCTGGAATTTCGCCCGAAAGCGAGTTGTTTGCAAGACTGAGAACTGTCAGATTACTCAACTTTGAGATAGAAGAAGGAATACTCCCATTAAATAAATTGTTTGAAAGATCGACCACACTAAGGTTCTTCCAAACTGAAAAATCCAAAGGCAAAGGGCCAGAAAACTTGTTGTATTGCAGATATAAGAAACTCAAACTTTCTAGCTTGGAAAAATCAGGGGGCAAAGGTCCCGATATCCTATTTATTCTGAGGCTTAGAGTCTCGAGTGCGGATAGGCGGCTAAGAGTGTTCACCGGGATTGGACCACGCAACCCGGTCCCAGGTAATCGTAGAACTACTACTCTAGACTGATCAGTGTTGCATAATACTCCTGTCCAGTCTTTGCAGACTGATCTGCTCTCATTCCAATTGAGAGAGGGCGAGTGGGGGATATTATGGAAGAAATCAAGCAGAGCTTGCTTGTCTTCAACAGGCTCACTGAGAACCCCCGGCCAGATGACCGCTGAAAACAAAAAAAATTCAACGAAGACGGAGAAGAAACTACTCTTCATCATTTTTCAGTCAAAATTAGTCGTTCAACCTAAATTAGCTACCAAGGAGAGGAACTAGTCTTACAAATCTGGTTCATACCTGCAAAACTTGAACAGATAGAAGATGCAGAATCAGAAATTAACCCCCATCAACATTTCTGCTCAAAAACATGTTCTATATAAGCTGAAATTTCTAAATCGACAAGTAAAAGAAACCCAAATTCTAAATCCCCAAATCGCAAACAAACAAATTCATTCAGTTGGGTTTTATTTCCAATAACTAAATTACACAGCATCAATATTCAACACGCATAAAAGTAGAACAAACACAGAGAAACGAGCAACCTAGAAAAAGGGGGAAAGGAAAACTGAATTCGAAGTTAAGGAAAAGTATGGAGCCCAGAAGAGGGATTTTCAGAAAGAACAAAAAGGAAGGCTTCGAAAGAAGTCCGTACGTACTGGGCCGTTGGCAATGATGGCGACGGAAGTTCAGCGGGAATCGTTTCCTTTGGGAAGTTGTTTCGCTTCTTATGCAATCATGCAGAGAAAACTCGTGCTGGATAATCATTTGAGAGAAGGTCCGGAAGAAGGATGAGAGTAGAGAACAGAACTATATTTTTTAATTTTTAGGAGCCCATTTCTTTAATGTTTCCATGACAGGAGGTTCGATTCCATGTGGAGGGTGGTTGCCGCCATTGATGGATGGTTCTCTTCTTCGTCAAGAATAAATATTGAAAGCAAGAGTAGTTGCTGCCTTTAGTTTTTTATTCCTCCATTTTTTCAAGGTAGTTATATAGATACATACATCTAAATCCAAAATTAAACCTCCAAGAAATAATAAGACAATTGATTTTTAGTTAAACCAATTAGAATTCAATCTTCAAACCTCCACGAAGATATATACAATAATTAATTGAGTTATCAAAAGAAACAAATGTCAGCGATAATTAATATATATTTTTAACTAAGAGGTTGTGAGTTCGATCTCTCATCCAACATGATGTATTAAAAAATATATATATTATAAACCTAAACTTTATTTTATATACAATTTTGAAAATTTTTATTTGATATTTTCAAAATATTAAAATATTTTTTTAATTATTGAGATTTAACTCCTTAGTTAGGGATGGCAACGGGGTGAGGTTAGAGAGGTCATTGAACCCGTCCCGATAAATATATTTTTTATTTTTATGGGAGTTAAAATGAAAAAAAGAGGGTCTAAATGAGAATTGGGTTAGGGCTTTTTTTAAAATAAAAAAAATAAAAATTTATTAAAATTAATGTATATTAATATTATTATACATAAAAGATATAAAAATTAATAAAATATTATGAGAGGGATCGGGGACAGAGAACCCGCAAGGAGACCTCCACATCCCCGCTAGGGACTCGACCCCGTCTCGGGTCAAACTAGGGATTCTACTATCCAATCGAGTTAGGTACCCGTAGATTTTTTTTTGTCTTCCCCTTAATTATAGGTAAATAATGATTAAAGGAAGACTAAGAGGTGAAAGGGAAATGAGAGTAACATTCAACCCACTCTAATATATTTAACTTTTGGATTGTAATTGTCCATGCATGACATGGCTGACCAAATTCACTGAATTTTTATATGTTTTTTGAAGATACTGAATTTTTATATTTTATAAGCTTTTTAAAATAGGAACATATTTTATGTTCATTAACATGTCACTACTTGGTTTAATAATAAGAGTTGAAAAAATAAAATCAAGGGGACATGGTGGGAAACAGCTCATCATAAAACATATCATTTATAAATATTTCATTAAAAAATAAATATATAGTTGTATAAAAGTTAGAACTTGAAAGCATGCATTCATGTGCCAATTATTGTTGTATTCAATTATGAGATGGAGAATCCCAATGACAATTGTTGGAATTGGAAGATTAACTTTAAGCTTCTTACAAATTTTATAAATATTAACAAAGTAGAGAGATTTTGAACCTATAAATTATAGAAATGAAGTACGTGAATAACTTCATCTCAAATATAAAATAAAAATGGAAAATCCACAAGTTCTCTTAATAAAATAAGTAATTGTTGTTTTTTCTATTTTTAATATAACTATCAAATAAATTTTATTTGGTTAATTGTTTATTTTATAGGCTCCCTTTCAATTATATCTTTGAAAAAAAATAGATTCATTTGAGAATGACATTTCTTCGAGTATTTGTAATTAATAACCTAAAACTAAATTTAATGCATATATTTTCTTCTTTCAAATCATCGTCTCCATTAATTGTTGTACTAAAAGTGAACTTTAAGAAACATGCTGAATTTTCTAATTCAATATCAATTTTGAGCCAAAGAAACCTATAAAAAATAAAAATTAAGAACAACGTGTCTCATGTATATTTTCATTCATTGTATATTTATGTTAATTTAGTCATATTTAAGAAGTTTCATGTTAAGCACGGTTTAAAATACCAAAATTAATGTATAAACTTATATATGATAGGAAAATGTCAAACATAATTCAATGGATCAAGTTATATATCTTCACAAAAACTCACTGCCTCTGCATGTTGTCATTGAACTCAATAACAATAATAATAATAATAGATCTAATTACTTCCTTCCATAAATTTCACAAAATTAATTTTCTCTATCTAATTTATATTTTTTTAGAAATTTTGATTTAGGAATTTTAATTGTTCTCTTTTTGTTTAGGGTATTTTAATTATCATTTGACCGTATTTGAATGCATTTCTAAATATAAATATATGTGTACTCAATATATATATAAATATAGTTAAATTAAATGCATGCGTGAGCCACTTTTGAGTAAATACTAATTTTCAAATTTGCATTTGGCAAGACAATTGAATAAATTAACCAATGAATTTATTAAAACCTACACTTTCCTTGTTGCTTGTAAAAAAAGTCTACCACAATATATTAGGCAAGCTCATGAGTTTGGTCAAACTCAATTTATTTCAACAAATAAAAATATCACTCTCTAGTTTAAAAAAAATGGAGTTAATTTCCACCTTTTCAGATGAGTAGTTAAGGATCGATGGATAATCTTTTGTTTTGAAAAAGTTTTTAAATTTAGGCCAAAATTTGAAAGTTAAAAAGAAAAGTTTTAGAAAATATTTTATATATGTAATATGGTTAAGAATTCAAACACGTTTGTGAGAAATATAATAAACATACCAAAGAAATAATAAGAAACCAAACATAAGTTTTTAGAAATAGAAAACAAAAAAATCTAATAGTTATCAAATCTCTAAGAGGTAGTTAAACCTAATTAATAAAAACATTACATGCTTAATTAAAAAACAGACGCTTGCAAGGCAGGTTTCGTAAAATACAAAAGATATATATGTAGCTGAAGAATATTGTTTTAATTACATTATATGTTGCAAGATGAAATTCTTAAATTTCAAAGTCCCAATACATGGAGCCTAAAATAATCCAGAGTTATAAAAATAAAAAGCTACAAATCCGTCATAAATATTTATTTTTCTCAAACGCATCTTTTAAACTTCCCAGGAAAGTTAATTATAATTAGCAAAGGACTCATTTAAAAATGAAAATTTAGCTATTTTTGTTAAGTGACCAATTTCTTTAAATAAATCGTTTCCTAGTAATAAAAAGGCAGGAACATACTTTCTTCTCTTTTAACGGTTTTGTTAGAAAAATACCTGAGATTAATATTATATGTAATGTTAATTTGAAATAAGCACCATCAAATCAGAGTGGCCCAACGGAAGCGTGGTAGACTCATAATCCACAGATCCTAGGATCGCGAAACCTGGCTCTTCTGATATCAGAGAAGGCTTCCGACCCTTATTTTTCTTCTTGATTTATTCACAATTGAATAAGAGGCACCAGAACGACGTCGTATCGACTCTCTCTTCGCTCAAACCGGTCGCAGACCTTATTTCTCCGCATTTGCAGTTATAGGACTCTATTTCCAGAAATTGAATATGTGGCATGAGAGAGAGACGGCCCATATCGTTCGGCCCAATTAGCAAGGATCCAATCCATATGCTCATACGAGCCCATCGTTCTCAGATTCAAAGGGCATATTTTCCTTTATAAGGATTTAATCCAAATGAAGGTAGCCACGTAACCTATCAAAATTAAATGTGCTAGGCTCAATTAAAAAAAGATTACAAAATTAAATGCAAAACATAATCAATGGCCTCAACAACATCTTGGTCGATGTTATGGGGAGAGAAAATTAATAGTAGCCGTAGCCCTAGCCCAAGTGGCCTATCCCTTTAGCATTTATTTCAAAATTTAAAATAAAAAGGAAAAAGACAATCAAATGTTGCCTAAAGTTAGTTGGGGTGGGGAAAAGTAGACGAAATGGGGACGGGGCCATTATTAAATGAATATATACAAACTACTCCAAAGCAAATAATGATGGAGAGAACCACTGACACCGCAATCGTGGAAGTTTGTAGTCCTTAAAATCTTATCCTAAGATTCGCGAAGATGAATTTAGCTGTAATTAGTATTGACTTCGAATCCTCCACCTCTATTTTATTGCACTAAAAACAAAATTTAAGATTCAAAGGTAGTTCTAATTTACAAAATACTAAAATCTGATTAGTCCATAATTTTTTAGAAAAGGATTATTTTGATCTCGTCGCTATCTTATTTTTAACAAATTTATAACATGACTTCAAATATATATAATAATGTGTTGTGTTACCATTGAACATGTATTCAAGTCAAAAATGTTTATTTTTTTTAAAATTTTATTCTAAATTATATATTTTAAAAGTTTAGGGATGAAAATAAGTTTTCCAGTACTATTTCACTTTGTCTTATTTCATTTCTTTCTTACTTTTCCCCCTTGTTAACAGTGGTGTATATAATTCGAATGGACAGTTGTCCTCTAAAGGCAATAAATAAAAAGGGACCATTATTATAATAAATGAGAGAAGTATGAAAAAATGTTGAGAAAGTTACAGTTAAATATGTACTTGAGGCTATCTAAGTTTTATATGACAGTGTGAAGAATGGTTAGATTTTTTTTTTTTTTTTTAAACAAAGAATGGTCAGATTTGGTACTAAAGTATTATGAGTAGAGTGAATATAGTTTTCTATAGTTTTAACTTTTAGGTAAAAGATGGACAATATTATATCCAACACAAAAAAAAAGGAGAAAAAAAGAGAGTCTATGTTTTACTAATACAATGGAATATTATCCTCTAAAGACAGGTTGTACTCTATAATCTTAATTAAAAAAAGTGTAAGACAAATAGATTCAAAATACAGCTTTCACCATTTTTGGTTTAGATTGAAAAATAAGAAAAAGGAGTGTTTCATAATAAAAGATTGATGTTGGAGGCTAAAAAAAATCAGCTCTCAAAAATTTGTCTCTTCTTTTATCGCCAGTCATGTTACGATAATTATATTTAAATAAATTAATAATAGTTTAATATAATAATAAATCACTATAATAAAATATAAACATGTCTGTGATTTAAAAGTAACATACCTTGTCAAGTACATACCACACCAAAATTTTTAACATTGGAAAAGTTTTTATAACAATGTAGGTAAATTTACATGTTTTTTAATTCATTCTTAATCGATTAATTAAAATATATTCTGTGATATGGGTAGGATATATCGTGTTTTGAGTGAAATATTTTTATTAACCAAATTGAAATGTTGTTTTTTCCCCCCTTTGAAACGACACTAGAAAATATAAATCAAAAGTACTAAAATAAATAAATAAATCAATTCATTCTTAGGTCGG